TCAAAATTGGCGATAAGATAAGAAGGATAACCTTTACTAAATGATTTTACGAGTAGAATCTAGGTTAATAAACGAATAGTTTATCATTATATCTAACGACATTGTACGTAATTATATGCCATATGAAAGTTTGTATGAAAAAGATATGTATAAAACTGATTACCTTTTAATGTTTCAAATAATTTCTCTTGATCACTTCTATCCTCCATTGGTTGATCTAATGTAGTTTTGAGTGATTTCATAACAGTTTCAAGTAGTTGACCAGGATTACGCATTTCTTTGATATCTTCTTCACGTGTCGTATAAGCAATAAGAGTGTGAACATTGCGTACTAATGGTTCATATTCACATGATGTTAAACGAAGAAATGCAGGTGTCATATGCGAGCGGTTTATTTCAGCAAGTATAGTTGGTTCACTTGTCATGTCTACAAGAAAACTACTAGCTGTATCCACAAAAACTGTTTCCGGATTCGATAATGTTTCTTGTAGATTATTATAAAATATTGGTTCATCGAGTAATGTTAACACATGATCAATTAATGGTAAATGTTTCTTAACAAGTTTTGCATTTATTTGAAATTGATTTGCTCCATGATTGATAGTTTTTAATAAATATTGTACAGATCGAATCATTGATCGTTTCCAGTTGTGTGCTGAAGGAACAACCTTGTCTAATAATCCTGCATATTGAGGTAGCATAGTTGAAAGTAATTTTTCCATAATTTGTTCGAGACGAGATCCTATGAATAGAATCAAACATAAAACTATTCGTTTCATGTATAGAGAAAATGGATGACAATATTTCTGATCACCAACTTTCTTTTTTAGTATTCATTTGGCATTACTATTTATCAATAAAGTATAGGTGTTGGTCCAAGTTGATGACAACCTCAACCTCACACTCAGTGGTGTTCCTCATTGTCAATCAGGCAAATTAGTTAAGTATATCGTTGGGCTGGATAAGAACCAAAGTATAGTGTACAGAGCAAACAATATATCTATGTATATTTCGATATTAATCTAGGAAACAATATTTTTGATATTTCTCCAGATCAGTGACATCGTGGTGTCTACACACTTTGATGTGCTCTGCTAGCTAGACCAATTAATATATAAGGTGTTGTCGATCTGAAGAAGAACCATATTTTTAAGTGGATATGTAAGGTATGGAAAAAAGTTCTCAGAAATTTTTCTATCGATATATCTTTGAAACTACTAGCACAATTTCAACAAATAAATTGTCATTTTAAAGAGCATTGAAAAATGTACTTATTGTATAAAAATAAAAGTTCTAGCTCAAGAAGTAAAGGAGAGTCAACAAAGGAATTTTGTCACATGCGATTTTTGATCATCAAAAAAAACCACAATTCTTTAATGTTGAATAATCAGAAGTTGAAACAAATTTCTTTCGTCTTGTATATTTGTGTGTGTGAGCGGAACAATTTTTTGTGTGAAGAAGCCAAATAAAGTGAGTATCACTATCTCACAGGCACTTAACAAGTTCGTCACATAGAATTCATTAGTGTTCAGTCTTTCCGTTTTAATTTTTTTGTTTTTTATTGTTTTCTATCTTGTGTATGTATACAAAACCGTTTAATGGTATTCTCACATTTATATCTCTCTTATTTCTTTAGCTAGAACTTTATTTTTTGCATAATAAATATTCTTGTAAAATAACTATTCATTTGTAGAAATTATTCTTAAGTAGCTGCAAAGATATATCGATTAGAAAATTTCTGAGAACTTTTTTTTCCTATATATTAGTTTATTTATAGATACACGCACTCAATTCGCTAATTATTTTGACCATACACTAATTGTTTTGAGGATGTGAATGTTGACGTGAGTAAAAAGAAAACCTCATCAACACCCGTACCCACACTTATTTTCATCTATAATAAATTTGGTGATCAAAACACTAATTTTCTAGTGATCATTTCGCAGTTAGAGATTCTTGATGACAAAAAGAAAAAAAAAACGCTTACCCTAATAAAAACTCACTAATTGAAAAAAAAATTGGTAATCAGAAGTACTGTTTCCTCAAAACAAAAAAAAGAAGCATAGTTACCATTGTATGAAATGAGAAATGATGGGCATTTGAGAAGGAAAAATTTTTCAATATTTGTCATTGATTTTTTATCTTGTGATAGATTTGTAAAAGTATTAATATATTGAGATGAAGTAAGACATTGTAGAATAGGATCCAGTAAGAGTACAAGTGTATCTTTATCAGAATCATTTTCATCGTTTAAACATTCTTGATAATAAGTATATATTTCAATTAAACGTGTGAAATATTTTAATAAACGATTATTTTTATCATTGAGAAAATTTTTTGAAGTGCCTATATTTGTAAGACAATTGGCAATTGTATTGAGAAAGGTCGAATCTAACAACCATGATGGAAGTAATTCTACAGCATCTGTAGCTTTGTTGAATCTTTTTATTAATTTAACTATAGAACGAAACATAGAAATTTCGTCATCCGTTAAAGAAGAAGAACGACACCATCGTTGAAGCAAATCACTGAATGGAGTTTGAAGTGAAGAAAAAAAATTATGTTGTGCAACAGATAATAATGTTGATTTTGGTACACGACAAACTGTCAACAAGAAATCCATAAGAATGGGTAATTGTTGCTGCGGGTGTTTTCGCCGCATTCTTTTAAGTTCCTTTGGATGGTGATCAAGTAAATTTGCCAATTCGGAATTAGAAATTGTTTTTGGATCTTTATTTATGATAGATTTATGAAAACTAGTCTGGCGAGATGATGAATATTGTGAATTAGTAAATGCATACGAAGGTTTCATTGGTTCTACTCTATATGGTTGATGATACCAAGGAAAAGATTCTTGTTGGTTTCGATGGGTCGTATAAAATTGATCCATTATATTATTACCTTTGAAATATATTAAATGTACTTATAGATAAGATAATTATTCTGATGTGATAGATCAAACAAGTACTAATACATGATTCGATATGAATACAAATTTCTTACTTTATATCAAGTTATTTCGTATTGAGTTCCGAAGTAATATTTTGTATGGTTGTTATTAGTTAACTTAAATAGTAATAACTATTTTGAGGATGATTGTATGCAAAGAAGAAAACAGAAAACTAATATATTTAGTAAATGAAAATATAAAAACAAAATTTGATTTTGTTTTTAAGGTAGCTATATTGAATTACCAATGAAGGTCATTTTATTAGAAATAAAATGTTTAGATTCACATACATCAAATTATGTTGATGAGTAGTGAATACCGTATGAAAACGCAAAACACAAAATCATTTAGGCGAAACTAATGAATCAACCTAAATGTCAAATACAGATCGTAAATTATGTTTCTGAATATAAACAAGCACAAAAATAGATCGAAGAGTGTTTTACTTGTAAGAGATTTTTATTAGAGATTGAAAATGTTTACAGAAAAAAATACAACGTAAAATCGAGTGTTCATGATATAAATGAAAGATAACCTTCGAAATATAGTCATGCTTTAGAAAATGATTTAATCGAACACATTGCTGATTATAATTTCATATACATCATATGCATACAGGTAAAATAAAAAAAAAAAGGTATAGTTCGTGCTCAACTCGAAGTAGTTTATCACATATTTTTGTTTGGATGCAATAAATGTTGTACTTAAGTAATTTTCGCTAACTGTATCTGCCTCATAAATTGCTTCCAAGCGATATCCTAAACATGCATAATAAAAAAAAATGAGGAGAGAGAGAAGAACAATGAAATAGTATAAGAATATAAGAATAATATATAATAAATTCGGTGTCGTAGATGATGTATTTTGAATTTTTTCCGCTATTTACATTTGTGATTAAACGATAAATCATAATTTCATAGAATGTTTAAAAAAACTAAATGAAACCTTCGGAAGAATGATTTATAGACATTGTCATATAAATCCTTCAGAAATATCTATAATTATATAAATGATAAATGACAACTTGATATTATTAAAGTGAAAACATGTCATATTCATTTGTATAAAAGAATAAATATGAGATAGATGTTAAAAGATGTGACTGATTTTTTTTTCTTTAATTCAATTCTATTCAAAACTAATGAATGAAATTTTTAGACAATATATGTATATTATCGTTTAACTGAATTCTTTCGTTAGAATTGCATCCCATGACGTTCGACTGTACTCAACTCTTTAAAAGAAGCAGTGTTCGAAATGATTACAAAATCATAAGATATCTGACAATGTTTAACACAGAGTTCAGTCACGATTCATCAAATTAAACGGAAACTATAGGCCTTTACTTATTTTCATGATTAATCATTTAAAGAATTCATTCGTGAATTGTTATTGGTTGAGGAAGAGAATCCATCTGATAATCCAGTTTAAATCAAATGACGGGTCACTGATTATTGCCAAGACACACATATTGAATAGGAAAATCGAATAATAAACAACATGCAATTCATAACTATCTATCGTAATGCACTTGTACTTTACTATCAAAGTTCACAATTAGCAATTCAATGCGACAAAGTAGTAAAAATGGAATTTATTAAAAAGTCAAAACAAACAACTTAATTTTGCATTATATATAGGGTGTCTGTGCGTTATAAATGTTGATCATTTTTGCATTTTTCTTGTTATTTCCTTCTATATCAAATATAATTACGGATCATTTTAATTAATAATATTAGAATCGAACTGAGAAATCATCGAGTGGAACCTAATCGGGGTAAAGTGCTACTGGTAATAGGAAAGTAGCACTCAGTCATTGTTTCATAGCACTCAAAAATCGGGTATAAATTGTAATAGGTAATTTCCTTCTAGACGTCTATTCCAATTCATCACTAAAAAGAATATATGTTTGACTATGAGATCTACACATTCTATATAATTGTATCAGTGCTAGATCATCAATAGTTTTACATATTGGCATCAATTCATTTAAATTTTCAGTAAAAAGAAAATCTTATACATCAGATTCTACCCATTCATTTACATGTTTTCAAATAACACATGACATTAGTTTACATTTCGTATGCATAGAAAATACATTATAATCATGAGTTGTAGCTATTTCGAGTTTATTAGAAATTATTTCAGTTGGTTTTTCATGTTGAGTCATGTTGGCTGATTTCGATGGAAGAGATTGTTTTCGTTGATGACTAATTTCTGTAATTAACTTTTCATAAGCTATATTAAAATCAAATCGACCAAAATCTACATATATTCTTGATCCAATCATAAATCCTAACCAACCATCTGGTCTATGTCCTTCTCTCATTACTAATAAAATACGATGTCCTTTATTCAGCTTTAGTTTGACAATATGTACTTTGTTTGCAGAAACTTGGCATACACATAGTGATAAATTCTGAATTTTCTACTGCATTAAGCATAAAATTTAATATTGATCACAAATTAAATAGTGGTTTGAACAAAAAAAAAAAGAAAATGGTGTCTTTACTTAATCTATACTTATTGTCAAGATCAATTTACAATCAAAGGCATTGACTAATAGGAAATTGATATGTTTTCTAAATTCTTTATGGTCATAACAATATGAGAACATTGTACGACATTGATATAATCGTTCACTTGATGCAATAATGGTTGTTTTGATTGTTGCTAACAGTTGTGTTTTTCATCATTATTAGACACAACATATCCACGTATTGTTTCTATTCCTTCATCAGCAGCATTTTTTTCTCTGGATTCTTCTTTGTTGCCTTTTTCAAAAGCTCTGGCTCTGAAACAAATATATGAGTATTTTCAGATTATTAGTAAGATTAGAAATTGTCATTAAATACCTCGCGTAAATTACCAAATAAGTTCATCGACTGTTTGTTTTGTTTTTTGATGCTTTATTTTTGTTGTCGTTAGAAATAGACCTGCAACAGATCTTGGTTCTATGAACCGATTTCTTTTTTGAGAACTGAGCCTAGTGAATAATTCGTTTTTTGAAAAGTTTCCGTTAGCTTCATTCGAGCACATTTGTACAGTTCAGAAACATTGTTTGGAATGCAGCAAATACAGAACTAATGAATGCATCAAAACGAGATGTTTAGTAGCACTAGTTCTTTTTGAATGAACTGATGACATAGATCAGTTCTTTTCAGAGAATTGTTGAAACAGTTCTCAAGATTGGAACTAATGTCGAACTGTCGTAGATCTACTTAGAAATAGTTTGAATCTTGTCAAGGAAGTTCGAGTCAGTAATCAACCAGGATTATACATTGTTTTAATATTATCTTCTTTATGTATCGTATAAGCAAGAAGAATATAAACATTCAGCAGTAATGGTTCATTTTGACATAATGTTAAACGAAGAAATACAAGTGTTACGAGAGATTCTTATTTAAATAAGAATAGCTGATTAACTAATCATATTTGCAAGATAATTAATAACTGTATTCGTAAAAGTTAACTTTGAATTAGATAACGTTTCGTAAAGATTATTAAAGAATATCTGTTGATTGACTAATTTCAACACAACTAATTATTGACAAAAGTCTACTTACAAGTATTACATTTATTTCAGATAGATTTGTTTCATCATTGATATCTATCAGAAAGTGTCAGACATCCAGAATCCTTCATTGTTTCCAATCGTGTGCCGAAAGAATTATCTTATCTTATAACGTCATCCAATGAGACAAAATACTTGTAAGTAAATTCTCTATGGTTTGTTCGAAACGAGATCCTGTGAATAGAATCAAACAGAGAATTTATTCTTTTCATCTATAAAGAAAAATAGCAAAATAGTCGTCACTATTGTATGAAGTGAGTAAATGTTGAATATTTGACAATGGAAAACTTTGTAACAGTTGTCATTGAAATGAGATATCATAGAACAGAATTTAGTAATAGCATAGATTTATCATTATTAGAATGATTTTCATCGTTAAAATATCCTTGACAATGAATATATGCATCCAATACACGTGTGAACATTTTTTTATAAATGACTGCTTTTTTTATCATTGAGAAGTTTTCATAAAACGACTATATTTGTGCGATAATAAGAGATAGTTTGGCATATTACAAAATCGGATAAATATGGCTGAAGTCAATCGATTTGATAAGACAATTGATTCGTACTCTTTAAGTTTATTGAAATTTGAAAATATTCATAGTTTTGTTTTATTTAAAGTAAAAAATCAATGAATTTATGAAATTTATCAATGAATAGTATTTGTTATAAAGAAAAAAGCTGCAGGTAAATAATCGATTCTAGTTTTGTTGCACAAACACAAATATATTGTTAACGAATATTATTGAGAAATAATAGTTTATTGTTGTTGAGTTCTCATAGTAAGACATTTAAATTCTCGAATTAATCCGTCAAGATAATGATTTCAATCAGCTGAAGTTATTATTATTTTCTTTTTTCTCTGACTATTTTTCGATAATAAGTAAATAAGTAAAAAAATTAATCATTGGATGTTCTATTATGATTAGTTTTTGAGTTATTTTCTCCTTCGTTCGTCACTTGTTGTTGATTATGCGATACATAAAAAACGTTGATATTCTACTTGTAGAGGATAAACAGTTGATACTATTTTCAGTTGCTATTTATGTTATTTATGCATGTGCGTATATAAAATGTGAATGATTTCATGACATATGGGTTAAAGTCGAGTGCTTTTTTTTGTTTACAATATCTGTTTATCGTTTGTTTTTTTCTCCTTTGACTTTTTTCAAAACAATAAGTAACCAATGATTTTTTTTTCTTACTTAAATCCAGCGAGTAGTATATGAACAAAGGCAAAGCTTATATATTTTTTTTCAGTTGATAGATCATTTAAAATCAAAATTTAATATAAATAATAATTAGAATATCAAAAAAACTTTCTACGAATAAAATTGGATATGATATAAAATTATTGAAAATAGTTTCCTTTCGCTTCTTATATTTTAATATGAAAAAAAATTGAAAAAACATTGACTTTGACTTGTTCTCAAGTCACTATTAAATTATTTCAATCGAGTATATAACCAAATTATTAAAACTGCTGGCATATATTAGTTATTGTCCTTCACATTAGTTATCATCTGAAACATTTTTTTTATTTCAAGGTTATATATTTCCGGTTGATTGATCAATGTGATGATATTTGTAATGATGTGCACAGCAGTCAATCTTATAGGTAAAGGAGGAGAATGAGTAGAAAAAAAAACAACGAATAAAATAAAATTGCTCTATAGATATTAATCATCACCTTAACCATCAGTCGCATCATTACCTGTAGTAAAATATACAGCATACCTAGTTTTAGCAACGACCATTATTAACGTTTATTATCGATAAAAATAAAGGAACAATGAGTATTGACGAAGGTGATCCTGCAAATAATGTTCAAAGTATATGGACACGTTTGATATTTAATGTTGGAAAAAAAAAAGGTTCAGTTGATGACCCATCAACAGGATCAGCTGTTGAACGACAAACAGAGAATTCACGTAAAGGTGGAACTATTTGGGAAGCTGTACGAAAAGCTGATCAGCCATCTATGGAACGTCTTGTTAAAATAGATCCTAAAAATGCTAATGCAAGAGGTCCTGTTGGTGAATGTCCAATACATATGTTATTTTTATATGGAACTGAAACACATCTTAATATGGCTCGATATTTGATTACAAATTTTCCACATACAATAACACAAATCTATAATGAGAGTGTAAGTTTTTAAAAGACAGAAGTGTTTTCTTTGTCTATATTTTATTGAAGAAAGAAAATTCTTTCCCGTTTTTTTTCTAGGAATACTATGGTGAAATTGTTCTGCATATTGCAATTATTAAACGAAATGCAACCATGGTCGAATGGCTTCTAGGTGATGAAAAAAATCTTCCGTATCGTGAACAACAATTGACAGCAGCTGCTTGTGGAAATTTTTTTAAAGTGTAAGTTTTATTTACGTTTAAAAGTTTATAATGAAATTTTACTTTCTTTTTTCAGAGGACGACCTTGTTATTACGGTGAATTACCATTATTATTTGCTTGTTGTACAAATCAATGGAATATTGCAGAAATTTTACTTAAACATGGTGCTTCAATGGATGCAGTAAGTAATCAAAATAATTATTCAATATTTTTTTTAAATCTTAAATAGAATGTGACTGTACAGAACTAAATCAAGACGATATGTGTTATTATACTACGAGACTAAGTAACAGAGATGAGATCGATTCGTTTTTTTTTTTGAATCGAATTGAATCGATGTCATCTCTGCTAATGAGGAAACTATACAAACTAATACCCACCATTTAAGCTCATATTAGGTTTACAAGGGCGGCTGGATGAGAACACCAAAATTCTAATAGAGTTTGTCTTCGTAGATCTTTGCAGTCGAGTTATGATTATTTTACTGAATTTTCGACCCAGCTTAAGATATTTACTGGAAAATCAAATAACGAAATCTCGATCAGAGATTTTTCTCATTGATAAGTCTAATGATCCTTAGAATATCCTGAAAGTTTCGAGCGAAAACAATGTTCACTTGTCGAAATATTGAATTTTCAAGTAAACTCGATTTTTGGGTTATGTCTATGACAAACGACCTTTTTATTTCGAAAATTTAATATCTCGACAACGGAACATTTTTTTTTAGACTGAAACTTTGAGAGTATTCTTCGAGTAATTCGATCTATCTATGGGCAAAATTTCAGGTCGAAATTCTGATTTTTGATTTTTCTCTATATACCTAAAGCTGTATAAAAAAATTCAGTAAAATGATCATAGTTCGACTCCAAAAATCCATGGGAACGAATGCTTCTAGGCTTTTTCTAGTCTCACCAGAACGTCATTTTAGATTCAATATAAGCTCAGACGGTGGGTATTTATTTGGACGATTCTCTTGTAAGTAAACAATCGAGTTGTTTTATGTAATCCGACTTTAACATAGTTTAAAGTAGGATTATATTGAGTACTGAGCACTCGTATAATCAGTATTCGAACATTTGAAGAAATATTTCAAGTGAAATCATCTGCCATTTCATATATGAAGACTTTTGTCTTAATAGTAGTTTATAGGTTTTTTGATACTCCAGGAGTTTTATTTATGTTGTGAATAAAATTAGAATTTAGATAAACCGGAGAACTTTAAAAAAGACAAACAATTGGATGATTAATATATTTTTTATTTTATAATAATTATAAAAAATATTTAATAGGTTATATCAATTTATTTGATTCATGTTTGAACATGAACCCGTTTTAAATGATACGCGGTCAAACGGAAAACATTTTATTTTTAAAAATAAATCGGCAAGTTTGTTACAAAC